CTAACTATTCAGAGCCCCAGCATCGTACATATATTTAGAGGAAACAGCAATTGCTCTTCAAATGACTAACATTGGAAGTGATTTGACTTTCCTGTATGTTTAAGAAAAGGACAAGAAGTAATTAGAAAAGTAATTACCAAAGGAAAATAGAGCGAAGTTACAACCTCAGTAGTGTTCTAAGTTCAGTAGATCCTGCCTTCTATAAATGGAGATGATGTCTGATACTGCCTATGTGCAGGGACATTCAATTTTAACATGGAGTTTTAATTAACACCTACAACGATGAAGATGCGTGCCAGACTGTCAGCAAATACACTGAGGTATGTGAATGTGGGAGAGGGAGTCATGAAAACAAAAGCGTTCAGTCTATCCATAACCTCTTTTTTGGGGCCTGTTCTGCTGAAAGGCCAAATATTTTTCTGTTTGAAATATCACCATAAATTTACTGCTGATGTCTTTCGGAAAATGCTTGCTGTCAAGCTGACCCTCTGGCTAAAGACCATAACAAGTGTGCAGATCAAGTGAGCTGTGATTTCAAAAGCATTGAAGCCACAGACAGCCAAGCAGCTAGCTAGAAGAAGGTCAGCAATTGCAGTTCCATATTTCCAGGGCCGGCGCTAGCGCAAGGCAACATGGGCACTTGCCTTACGGCACCAGGGAACAGGACGAGTCCCCGCCGGCCGCAGCGGCGCTGACCTGTGCAGTCTCAGTGACAGTCTCACTGCCTCGTCCTTGGCTACGTCCTATCAGGATAACATGGAGGTACAGGATGATATGGGGCACAGGATGACATGGGGGCAGAGGATGGCATGAAGACACAGGATGACATGAAGACACAGGATAAAGTTGAGCGTACGGCTGCGTTCTCCCATTGAGAAGAACAGGCTGCTGCCTACAAATCACACGCAGCAGCCTGTCCTTCCCGGGAACGGCCCGATACGTCTGTGAACATCCCACAAATCTGTATTCTGCATTGCGTTTTATATAATGTATTATATTTCTCTATCTCTGGGGTGTCTCAGTCATGAGATCTCCCCACCAGAATTATAATGCAGTCATTACAAAGCAAAATGATAACATTGTGCTCTTTCTGATAAACCCTCCTCAAATAATAATAGAATAAATAAATACCATTGCTATAGACTTGTGAGGCACAGGTAAACCTCACTAGTGGGTGACATTATATCCAGAGATCTTGATTTACTCCCTGCTTGTACATTGGTTACACATTCTTTTGCATCCTTCGCATTGCAGCGCAAAGCAGCTTTTCATTCACACCCATTGCTTTTCTGATGTCCTTTTCTGATGCCCACTGGTGTGAATGGGACCTAATCCCACTATTTCTTATTGTTGCTGTAAACAACAGCATGAGACTTATTTATATGGAAATTTTCACACCTTTTCACTTGACTCTGGTTTCTAAGACTACCTGTTGCTACAGATATTGTCCCATATGATGCCCAGTTGCTGTAAGTAAGCACCCTGATCAAATGTACCAATGCATCGTTCCGGGTATGGACAGCTATAAGCAATGTATGCACTGAGCACCAAAAACTATAGGTAAGCACTTGTTACATGAGCCTGCAAATATTCAAACCTGCATCAGTACACAGCTGAGCCGAAGAAAATTACACTGATAGTGGAGAGAGGCGATAAAGCATTTTACCTAACCTGTTATTTAATAGCACTTAAAATGCTGAAAAAAAAGAAAAGGACAGGGAAGGGTAAACACTACCTTTTTCAGTCAAAAAGACTTTTGTATCACCTTAAATGGGATGACAAAGCAGGCTATAAATGGTCTAAACCCTAATCTGGGTGATGATAAAGGGTACCTCCTGTATTTAGATGAATAGTTATTGCTCAGAAAACTTCTATGACTGGTGCCTTCTCCCCCAGTAACAAAACACAAAGAGGGGAATATATTGAAACTGGAGCAGGCAAAATCTGGATAAACTGTGCATGGTAACCAATCTGCTTCTATCTTTATTTTCTTTTTTTTTTAGCATGTAAGTTTTTATTGACCTTTATTCACTGTTTACACCTAGGCATTTTATCGCTCAAAGCTAAACACGACAAAACGTTCAAGACAAGTAATTTCATTTGCTTGTCTTGAGCATGACAACATGTTCAAAACAAGGAATCCCTTTTATTGCTATGGCCCCTGCTCACACCTGAGCATTTTGTCACAAGCAGAAAAACACCTGTCACAGGAAAAAGTACAAGAGCTACATTTTGGCAGATTACAGCCCTTTTTGGGTCCCATAGACTTTAATGTGCAATTCTGCATGGCAAAACGCGCAGAAACTCTGCACATTTTCCAGGCATCTCTCTTGAAGTCTATAGGATAAAAAGCAACAGGTGTGAACTGAAATGAATGGAATTCCTTGTCTTGAGCGTTTTGTTGCACTTAGCTTTGAGCGTCAAAACGCCTAGGTGTGAACGGGGCCTTAAAGGAAAATGTTACAAAACAGGGTCAAGTAAAGTGTACAACGAACAGGCATGTATTTTAACTTTTAAAGCTAGAACCATTGGGTACACGGAGTGCAAATATTGTAGAGAAGAAGGAGGGGATATTTCTTGGTAAGATATTTTAACATGGAACGATGGCGAATACCATATAGGTAATGGGTTCAACGTTGTGCAGCAGACCCTATAATAACATTACTACAGTAGCATGAAAACAAAATATCATGAAAAACAAGTAATAAGTTGAGGGCAATACAAAAAGAAGAAAAGAAAAGGGAAGCTGTAGAGCCACCAGGCAATGGATGGACACAAAAGACATCAGGATATTTCTCATTTTTAAAGCTTAACTGAACAAGCTAAAGAGAAAATCTGATTGGTTACTGCGGGCAACTGCTCCGGTTTTGATAAATTCCCCCTATAGTGTTTCTAGAAGATCACTGTATTAAGTTACACCTTGATAAACAGACCCTTTAAAATCCTAAAAGCCTAGGGATTATTATTATTATCAGCAAGTTATATGGGGATCTGCTGAAGTACTGATGGTTTATGGATGGTGAGACATTATGCTTACCTCCCTGGTATAACTTGCTAAAATAGGGTGCTGATATTCAGTAATAAAACAACATGATTGGGTATTCTTTGTGAAGTGACACTAAATGCACTAATGCAAGTGAACAGCCTATTTGCTTCCATCACATGTTCTGACTGCATAAAAGCACAGCAAGAATCTCACTTGATGTAACTTGCTTGTGTATATGATATTTGCCACTTTTATATAACTAAATATGATAAAATCCTTATGATTTTATTTTACCTGTTCTGTTTCTAGCTAACCATTTGCATACTTCCCAACTGTCCCTCATTTGGAATTCTTCATCTTTGGAAACCAAATCCCTCTGTTCTTCTTTTCTCCTCACTTGTCCCTCTTTTGGGCTTTTGTACCAACCAACAATAAATGTACTATTTACCTACATAAATTATTATGTACTACACTAAACCTTTTACACAGACCTTTTTACTACTGCAATAATATTTTGAAAGGCCAGTAAAAAGGAAGTGTTGGCTTAGGCAATTATTATCTTTCTTATTCTTCCCCTTGGTGCATTGGAGAAGTACATCCTTTGGACATCTTCAATAAGTAAGTTTACAAACTTCTAGATTGATAGGGTTATTAGGAGTGGGATTGAACCTTTTGGAAATTCAATAAAAAAAAAAATATTTTGTTTGAGTTTTTGACCATGGATACCCTTTAGGGACCCCTGTATAAAGTAAAATGAGGTGATGTGAAGACTGAGCCTGATGCATTAAAGGAGAACTATGGGGTCAGTGTTTTTCCCCATAGTTCTCCTTAGGGTAACGGGAGGACACAAACTAGCGTCCTCCCGTTACCCTAAGCTCAGTATACCGCGAGCTACAGCTCGCGGTATACTGAGACGCCGCAGCCGGAGCGGATCCCGACGTAGATGACGGGATCCGCCCAGCTGCGTGAGTGACAGCTGGCTCTGCCTATCTAGAGGCAGAGCCAGCTGTACCCTCCCCCTCCCCCGTTCCGCCAGTCAGCGCTGGCAGATCGGAGCGGTGAGAGGGGAATCCAGCCCCTCCCCCTGTCACGGCAGAGAGCCGTGACAGGATCGAGAGGTGAGCGAACCTGGTATGTGTTCGCTCACCTCCCGATCTACTGAGCTGACCTGTGACAGTCTCATTGTCACAGGTCGGCTAGAACTATGAGGTGAGTGGAAATCACTCATCTCATAGTTCTCCTTTAAGTGTAAAATTAAGTAAAGTGAGCCTGCATTCACCTAAAAAATCAAATTATGCACAGTAAAATGTACATTTTTATACATGTGATGAATGCTTTAGCACACCTTACAATATAGTACATCAGACCATTCTCACTTCACTTCATCTCTCATCACTTTAGTCAATCACACCCACTGACAGTTCGCAGTCTAGAATTGGAAAGGCAGCATGTAAAGGCAGAATCCACAAATCTGTATCAGCTAAGATCCTTATTGGCATTCCCTTCCCTCCTTTGTTGTAGCATTATGTATGTCACAAAGTGACAGTTCTACATTACAAAGACTAGAATAATCTGTGACACTTGTGACAACAAAGCATTCAAAGATATTTTTTTATCCTCTGAGGTTATGACAAGAGGATCAATTTAAAACTGTAAATGTGTTTTTATGACATTAGTTGAGGAAATATCACCCTGGATGACACAGAAGAACAGGTCAATGGTTAATATATGAAGACTAAAAGCAATAATGAAAACGTAAAGGACCCGATCACCATCCACATGCAGGAGATAAACCTGCAGAGAAGAGGAAAATGCTAATATAAGTTAAATATCTGGGACACGTAAAAGCCCTGGGCTTTCAAAACAGGTCATCTGTACACAAAACAAGCACGGAGGACTGCAGGAGGGAGAAGAAACAAGCAACTTGTTCAATAAAAACACTTGCCGATCCCCCAGTTCAAGTTCAGGTCTATGAGCTGTCAAGCTTTGCTATGTTTCTAAAAAGATGACTCACCAGGCCTGCGGCTTTCGCTTCACGATACCTTGACGTTTCCACTGTGAGTGAGGGCTGAGGTGGTAAGTCAGCTGTCTGCACACTTTCTCCATTGCGCCAAGTGAATCTCCTTCCTGCAACAGGAGGAAGAGGTACATTTAATATGTGAGGTAAGATCCCCTACAGAGTACATTTTGTCTAATTAAATCCTGTACAGTTCTTAGTACTAGTTCCAGCTAATGCATATTACAGAAGGCCTGTAAGACAAATCCAGGGAGAAATCAACAAACTACATAAGAGGTTACAGACCTTGCAGTTAATGAGATACAAGATTTGTATTTGTATATTTATGAGCCAACCATCTTTGTTTTTATGTCCAAAGGCAGTGGTTCCCATTAAGGCGGTCCATCCTTCCCCCTTGTATTAAACCACCACCATGAATTAAATAAATATATTAAAATAAATACAGTATACATATTATTACTCTCAGTTCTCCATTTTACCCCTGAAAAGAAACCCGTGCTGCCATTTTAAATTAAAAAAAAAAGATATAATTGGTGGCCGTCTTCTTCTTCCTCTTGTTCTGGGCTGGCCCACCAATGACTTCTGCGTCAGATGTCTAGCATGAGCTGTAAGAGATCTGCCGTGGTTTGTTATTGTTTATACAGTGCTATGGCTATGGCAACATTAACGTCATTACACCACCCAACACTCACATTTCTGAAGCCATGGCAATGCATACTGCCTGGCCAAAGAGTCACACACTCTCAATATATAGTTGGACCATCTTTAGCTTTGATTGCGGCACGCGTTTGCCCTGGCATTGTTTTGATTGATAAGCTTTAGCAACGTAATCAAATTTATTTCTGTCCAGAGTTGCATTAATTTTTCACAAGATCTTGTAGTGATGACGAGAGAGTCGGATCACTGCATAAAGTTTTCTCCCACACATCTCAAAGATTCTCAATGGGGTTAGGGTGTGGTGGCCACTATATGTGTCAAAATGATGTCTCATGCTCCCTGAACCACTCTTAAAATTTGAGCCCAATGGATCCTGTCATTGTCATCTTGGAACATGCCCGTGCCATCAGGGAATAGAAAATCCATTGATTGAAAAACCTGGTCATTGAGTATATTCAGATCGGCAGCTGACCTCATTTTTTAGGGACATAACATTGCTGAACCTAGACTTATTATCCAATGGAAGGCTCTGAACCATTGCTTAGCCAAATCCAGGTGGTGACTTTTTTTTGGCCAGGCAGTGTATAAAGAACGCCAAACCGCTCTAGATTAAAAAACCTAAACACAAAAAAAGACTTTTCTTGAAGTCTTGCAAGTTTTGATATATATTTTAAAATCATTAAACTTAAACTGAGAGTTTAAAAATAACTACCCTTGCTGTGGGGCCCACAGTTAAATGCTCATTTTTGCCTAGCAGTAGAGGAATAAGAAGTGACCATATTTATTGCTCTCTCTACTGCAGCAAAGGGACATTAGGCAAAAGATAAAAAACATTTTATTTTTTTTACAGTCCAAAGAAAAAAAAAAAAAAAAAGTGTAAGGTTCCCCTCCTGATTGATACCAGACCCTTTAGGTCTGGTAGGAATGATAGTAGTGACCTCCCCCCCAAGCTAAAAATAAAAAAGCCATACCAGGCCCTTTAGGTCTGGCTGGTAGGGATTTTAAGGGGGAACCCAAACCCCAAGAAATTAGAGAAACAAAATGTGGGGTCCCCCCTAAAATTTCTACCAGACCCTTGATCCGAGCACAGGTCTATCTTCTCCACAACCCTGGTCCGGTGGTTGTGGGGGTCTGCAGATGTCGCCCCCACTTTTGAATGAGTACCCCTGCTTATACACTAAAGGGTTGAACCAAAATGTAAATAAACACACCACACTTTTAGAAAAAATCCTTTAATTTAAAAAAGCAGAGTCAATTTTTGACTATTCCTAAGACTAATACTTTTTTTTTTCAATTAACCGCTTGAAGACCAGGTGTTTAGACCCCCTTCCTGGCCAGGTAATTTTTCAGTATTCAGCGCTGCGGTACTTTGACTGACATTTATTCCGTCATGCAGCGCTGTACTGAAATTAATTTAATACCATTTTTTTGGGGACAGATAGAGCTTTCTTATGGTGGTATTTAATCACTTTTTAATCACATTTTACTATATTCAGGAGAAATTACTGACATTTTTTTTTACATTATGTTATGAAACAACTAATACCGTATTACCCACTTTTTTGGTAAAATATAAAAGATCGGGTCACGTCGCGTAAATAGACACCAAACATGTCAAGCTTAAAAATTGCGTGCACTCGCGAAATCGCAAAAAAATAGCATACCCAAAATTGGCCATAGGCGACGCTTTAAAAGCTTTTACATCTACAACTACACAATGCATACGAACGAGCGCTTGCGTTTCGAAATGGCACTGTTGGGCGCTTCCAACAGAAATGGCAGCCCTGGTGTCTGTGGTCTCAGCAGAACACGCCCTCCCCATGACTCTCGCTGATAATGACTCATGTAAAGCTCGGATGCTTTGAATATGGAGCCTCTCGGGTCCCTCCGAGATGGAATTTGGTACGCTTTATCAGTACACAACATATGTCTTTACCTGCTTCTTATTTCATATTGTTGGTCCTAACCGGACTTTCTTTGTTCTTGAATACTTTCTATTCGTTTTGTAATATTGAAAATACCCTAATAAAAACGTATTGAACATAAAAGCTTTTACAGCTCATCAGTTTAGTGTTATCAGTGATCGATGACCCTAGAATTATTGCTCTCATTCCGATGTTCGCGGCGATATGCAACATGTGCGGCGTAATGGACGTAATCGTCGTTTTCGCAGGTATGTGCACCTGACGAATCTTTACATGCGTGTATGTAGGGGTGGGGACTTTTTAAAAAAATTTTATTTTTTTATTTTTTTTATGTGTAACTTAAAAAAAAATTGGGGGGAAACTTTACATTTTTTTCCAAGATCTGGTAGGAATTTTAGGGGGGACCCCACTTTTTTCCCCATTTTTGGGGTCGGGGTTGGCTTCCAAGGTGGCCTGATATCATGCCCCAGAATCTGATATGCAGGTAAGTGCAGGTGTTCTATCAAAGATTGTGACTGGGTTGGAATTTGTGACCTAATGACGCTCACTTTTTCTGCTGTAAAATGTGTGACCGGCAAAAGGTGTACAATGCAAGCTGTTCCAGGGCAGATCGGCATCACAGATGGTATGTGCTAGAGAACCGATCTGAACTGGAACAGCTGATTGGTCCTGAAATGTGACTTCTATCCGATTTTGTGGAATGTGAGCTCCCACTCACAAACTTGAATAGACGTGACATTTCAGGAATGATCAGCTGTTCCAGGGCCCTGGAATTGTACACCTTTTGCCGGTCACATATTTTACAGCAGAAAAAGTGGGCATTTAAATGTGTGACCACGTGACCGGTCACACATTCCACCGTCGAAAAACTGGGCGGGATTAGGTCACACATTCTAACGCAGTCACAAACTTTGATAGCACACAGGCATTCACTTTATTTATGAAACTAGTTCAGAGAGTTAGATAAGTGGCAGGTTTACTCCAAATAGTTACATTTTTCAAACTAAAGACAAGATGGTAATAACATGGAGTTTGTAGGCTTTGAGAAAGGGCATATATTATTATAAAAAAATAAAACAAAGATACAACAGTACATATAAACATCTGGAATGCTTGTCGGAACATGATACATTCATATCATAACAAAAGCGCAAACTCAAGGGAGAAAAAAATTCTACCGTAGTAACAAAATTTTACATAACTTGCAGTTGCATATGAATATGCATTGTGCGGTCTGTTACCATTACACCCATGATTTATTTATTCTATTATTCAATTATATCTCTACAGTACGTCTACAGTATTTAATATAATCCACTGTGCTGCCTGAATAGCCTGAAATCTCATCACTTTTACACAAAAAAATCTATTATTTTCTGCGCTATTCCAGACCTGATAACTGGATAGTTCAGCTAACTGTTGTGCAGGAGGGATTTCTCCTCCTTGCCTTCTTAAAGGGAATGTATAGTGGTTTTGTACATAATTTCTTTCTTTCTTTATTATGGTCAGACAAAAAAACAGATTATTAACAGATATTTTTCAGGAAATATAAAATATAGCTTCTTAGTATTCTGAGCCATTAAGTAGAGCTTTACGTTTCTTTCCACATTTTTAAGATTCTCCGTTTGCTTCTTGAATAATACAAATCTGTTTACACAGCTTAGTGACTCATCCCAAGGGATTATTCCTTATAAAAGCCCCTATAAAACGACTGAGTAAGCAGTCCAAAGTTTAAATAAAACATATTGGTGGGAATTTATCAAAACTGAAGCAGACAGAATCTGGAGCAGTTGCCCATCGCAACCAATCGGCTTATTTCTTCAGTTTGTTCAGTTAAGCTTTGAAATTGAAAGACAGAACCTGATTGGATTCTGTCTGCTCCAGTTTAGATAAATTCCCCTCATTTTACCTCAAAGCAAGCAGCAAGTGGCTCTGCTTTCCCTTTAGTTACAGAGGGTGCTTTGAGAATCCACTGTCTTGTATTACATAGAATGCGCAGCATATTTTTACATTATGGCACACTTTTTTTCTAGCAGAAGTAATTAATAATAACATATCCGCTGACAATGTTTACTGTCCTTCTTCGGGGTCTGGCGTCTTCTGGGTCCTCCACTGGGCAGTCACAGGTGCTGTAACTCCTGTGCAGGCACACTGGAGCTACATTATCCTGACACCTGGCTCTATTCTGGGCATACAAATGACAGGAATGACTCTAGAGCTGTGGTTCTCAACTGGTGGGTCGCGACCCAAAAGTGGGTCGCAAACCCATGTTCAGTGGGTCGCCACGTGCCTTCCACTGCGCTAGGTGAGGTCAGTTCTCGCGCAGAGCAGCCATTTAAAATATGCTTCCCGGCATGAGTGTTAGCTTGAGGTGGGATGGGCTGGGGGTTTGGCTGCGAGGGAGCTCCATCCATACGTGCATTGCTTACAGCTCCCTCAGGTTTCCTGTAGAGATGCCTGGACCAGAGTGAAGTCACATTCTGGCTCCCGGAAACCTCTACAGGGCATGCAAGGGAGCTGTACAAGCA